CAGACCTACTGTCAGCGAGCTAGCTCCATTCTCCGCCGCGTCTATCCTGTTTCTATCCGTAATGCCAAGTCTTTGACTTCATATACCCCAATCTCTTGTGTACCAACCAAAAAACTTTGTAGTTCGACATTGAACCTAATCAAAGCAAGCAGTTCGAGTAAAATACGTGAACCAGAGAGAGAAAAGACGGATCTTACGGTGCAAGAAAGAGAGAGAGAGAGAGAGACTGTGATAAGACCTAAGGAAGAAGGACTGCGTAACAATATGGCAGACTCTGATCAACATTCCCAGCAAAAGGGTGAAGGGAGTGAGAACGACAGCGCGAAGTATGAAGGAGTTTCATGAATGCCACTCAAAGGAGCACACCACACTACATCAAAATAAGCACGATAAAAATTGTTACAGTCAAGGTGTGATGGAAGGATATAGGAAATGTGTAAAGATAAGAGCAGAAGGAGAGATACCACAACAGTTTAGCACACGTTTGGTCAAAGGATCGGCTTCACATGTCTCTTTGACGAGTTGTTGTGTGGTGCTAAGACTGGCGAGACTCACTGACGATGCCGACTACGATGCCGGCGAAACGTCTGGGAATATACCACGCCCATGGTCCTACTCTGGAAATGATCATGCATACAATGGACTCAGGACTGAATGCGTTTCTCTATGTCTTCCTAACAATATGACCAAGTTGCGAAAACAGGGTCAAACAACGAAAGGAGACCGCGACCAGACAAAACGCCACACCATCTTAGTCTTCATACCAATCGACTATATTATTTACTTTGAGTTTATAAGTCAGTTCTCAAGACTATCAGTAATACGGTGACCCTGTGATCCAAGGGCAGTCATGGCAATATGGCGTAGTGGTTAACGTGACGAGATTATAACCTGTCCTGCCATAATTCGAGTCCCATTAGGAGAGGTTGATAAGACCTAGGCGAGGCCGAAACTGCCGCTTGTTTTAGTAGGGATGAGAATACCTATATATATATATATATATAGAGAGAGAGAGAGAGAGAAAGATAGATGTGTATAAAAACTGAATTTCTAAGAATCCATTAGTAGAAAAATATCTGAGTAATTAAATTTTTCGTTTAATGAGGCGAGAAGTGATCAGTAAATTGGTTTACAGGAAAATGAAGGGAAATTACTTCTGAGCTGTGACTTTAAATTTGTGTAAGCAAGTCCTCAGCGCACTCGCCTCTTTAAACGAAATGAAAGTTGCAGCAGCATCAGAGGTGATTAAAATTTTTACTCAAGATTCATTGAATGTCTCGAAATATTTTTCATGAATATCCTGCTCTGGCTAATCAAATAATATAAAACAATGCGCAAAATATGGGGAACAAACTAATGAACTTTCCAAATTAGATAGTTTGCCAGAAGTAAGTTCTTTAGACTTAAATGTCAAGAAAAAGCTAAGGCAGACAGATGGTATCAATGGCGATGTGATGACTCTCATTCATCTGCCTTTTGTAAAACGAATGGATGAGGCCCATCGAACTTAAGGACGATCAACAAAGAGGAATGGCCAAGTACGTTAGAAGGAATCATCAGAAGGACCTACGTCATAAGCCTAAAAATATATGTCTTTATAGTTTTAGAGGGTAAATATTCTTTCCTTTCAGTGTTCCTGAGCAAATATCGTGGCGCTGCATCATATTCACTAAAGCAAAATATAAATTCTAATTCTGCTATGCTCGCCCCGTGTTTGTTGTGAAGCTGGATTGGTTTAAGACGGGAACAACATGGAAATCTGTGTCATAAATGTATTTAGAAACTTTATAATATGGAGAGAGGAAATAGGATGCACTAAGGAAATCTTGGTGAAAAGGGCTTATCTTCCCGCAGATCTGCAATGATAACTCGAATCCTGGATACTGCAAAATACATCTGAAAGATTTGATTGCAATTCACTAAAAGTCCCTACATGAGTGCCTGGTAATATGTCAAAATAATTTAAGACTTGACGTGATAAATGAAATTAAACTGCCTGTCAAAAGGAATATAAGCAAAGCCTTTTCAACTAACAACGCCCAGTGAACTTTCAAAAAGCAAGCATCCAAGACAGTACATGTATGCGGTTGGAAGATGCTGTTAGATTGGAACTTGCAAAGAGAGACATAAAATAAGTCGCAAAGCGTCTGAACAGAGATTAAAGAAAGCCATATGAATCACACGATGGACATTAAATAAGGCTCAAGTGAGCTGCCTTTAAGAATCCCTTAATTTAAATAAAAGTTTTCAACAAAGGGTGCAACCTAATATCAGGCTATATTGCTGGAATAGTCTTATGCAAGGCCTTAGGACTATCGGACTATCATCATGCCAATTCCGTGCATCTGGAACAGAATACAAATATCAAACCTTAACAGCATTCTGCTGTTGACTGAGGCTGGTACGCAGTTGTTCTACTATGGCGCGCTCCTCAGCTACTTTGGCTGTTAATTCAGTGAGGCTGCCTTTAAGACGCCCCGTCTGATCGGCGTAGTCAGCTAGTCTATGTTCGGCTGCTGAATGTTGGCTCAACAGGCTGCGAGCAGTATGCTGCAAGGCTTCCTTGGCGCGCTGCATTCCCGCCATGTCAGCCATCCGAGATTGAGCCTCAGCTGAAAGAGCTGCACAGTTCGCCTCCACCTCACGACGTTCACTGGAATGCGTAACGATAGAAAGTGATTAATACAGAGGAAATGGGAGATTTTTAAGGAAGAAAGTAGTGATAACGAGAAGTAGCTAAATAAGTGAATATGAAAAATTGATAATGAGTAAAAATTGATAAAGGCACCAAGATATTAAAAAACATCTGAAGATCCACAAAATTATGTTCTACGAGGAATGTATGAAGAGAAAAGAAAGATTATGAAGACCAAATTAGTAAATTT